CAATCACATCTTCATATACTGTGACTTTAAGTTGATATTCTCTAATGCAATTATCAACATATTTATTTCCACTTATCCATCCTTAACTTTTTTCTTTACTATTCTCCCGAGTATATCGATGGATGTTACATTGTTCATGTGATATTTGGATTGCCAATCTTTCATCATACTGAAACGATTTTCCTATAGATACTTCGGTCATAATAATATCAAACCTATAAATGTCTTCTGAATCGTTTTCATCATTCTTTCTAGGTATTCCTAGATCTGAGATGTAAAATTACATACTCTTATTGATGCCTTCATCTTGTAATATATTACCATTATGAAAGTCTGTATGAATATATTCTGATATTCTGCTTCATAAATTTTATTACGTTTTCATCAACCACGTTGCTGAAAACACTGATCCAAATTCCCCTTCGAGATCTTTAAAATGTTTTCTAATTTTCATTCGCCCGTTCTTGTGCTGTTTTCTTAGAGTATCACATGTTTGACACCAGGCAGATGATGTTTTTTTATTTCGATTATAGCTTATAAAATTTTCGTGCCTACCATTTAAATCCAAAACTAACATATATGGTACTCGTTCATTTAAGTATCTTGAGTTAGTTCACATACTTTAAAGCTTCGTTCCTTTTAAATTCTTTAATATTTTTGTTTACAAGACGACTTGATTCGGACCAGATTTTTTTAATTTCGATTCATTATCTACAGGTTTATCTTCTGTTTCAGATTTCGGCAATGCTGGAACTTCTGGCACATCCACTTTTGCTGAGATGCTATAGCCAGCTTCTTCAACTACTTTTAAACCTCGACTTATCTCTTGAGTCGATTCTTCTGTGAGAATTTCTGTTGATAAAGTATAAACTGAATCTTCACCATTAAGTTTTTCTTCGATTATCGAAGATACACTATCATCAATATACGTTGATGCTTGATCCGTTTGTTGTTTCACGACTTCATCAGTTTTATCGATATGCTTCACCTTTGTTAGAAAATCAACCAGTGGTTTGAACAAGCACTTTGGCATCCAATAAGTCCAAATTCTTAGAGCGAATCGTACATGGCGAAATACGTGACTTCGTTTTTGAGTTTAAAATTTCGTATGGTATTTAAATAATTTCACTATTCTTATGTGAAGGAGGATCTAAGTTTTACAAGCTTCATTCGGACAATTACCCTTCTTTCAGGCTAAGTAACTTATGTAGTTACTTTCATTCGTACTTAATTAAATTCTTCATTCCACATTTTTTTTTTTTTTTTTACACTACTATCAAGATCCAATTTTCGCGCAGTACTTATTTCAGCATATGCCCAGCCAGTACCAGGCCTAATTCACGACTTATAGGCTGGACAAACCTCCCATTTTTGCGTAGTATCTATTGCAACATATGCTCCCGCCGATACCAGGCTTGATCAACGACTTACAGGCAGAGCACCTCAACTTTGATAGTACAATTCTTTTCTTGTGGAAAGCTAAATTTTCTTATTATTTTTTTAAGTTATATTTGTTAAATAAATTGATCAAATATCATAATTATCGCTTGCTCAACTATGGATCCTTTTCTTTTCTTTTTTAAAAATCGCTCGTATAGATCGGGAGTGTAATCGTGAAGACCGTAAAAACGATTGGATTGGAGTCGTAAAGAGGAGTAATAAAGACGATAAGAGTCGAAATCGTCGCGAAGATAATCGAGAGAGTCGGAGTTGAAATCGTCAAAGAAAACCCTTAGCTAGTTTATAAGCCTTTTCCATACGTCATTTGGCTTAATTCTTAATAATTTCTCCAAATCAACGACTGACTAATTATACCTTTTCATCATATAATTAATTTCTT